AGCACACGCCCGCTCCTTCAGTTTCAAGCAGTCAAACAGGCCCCTGCCTCGTGGCAGCGTGCACTGTACGTGATACAGCAGCGTCCTGATAAACCCCCGAGGCTGACAACGTTCATGGTTGCTCTATGTACTGCCGGGCACGGAAGGGTTCACACTCATCATTTGATTTGATTTGTTAAAAGGTGATCGTTGTATCCTATTATAACTTTTGGACACAGCAGAAATAATTTCCAACGGTGTCGGGAAGATTTAGACCTTCGTTAACAGGCTCAATAGAAGGGGGCACATGAGACCACCACTCCCCACATACAACATCAGGCCAGACATTCTCGCATTGTGAGCCAAGAAAAAAAAAAGTCCCACCAACTTCATGCCCCCAAAAAACACGCAAATCAAAGGGGGAAAACGCTCCTTCTTCGCATATGTGAGGCATCTCATCCTTGAGCTTGAGAAAAGTAGGAGTTAAATCATAATTTAGATTACCAGTTAACAGGAAGGCAAGGTTGCCATGGTAATTTAAAATATTAAGACACTTCACTCATTATTAAATGAAGTTGTATTCATCTGGATAAAGAGTCGTAATCAACTCAACGGCAACTAACAACATAACCATAACCCCAGACGTCTTGAAAGACGAAGAAATACCGTCCATCGAACGCTCCCACGTTCGTCACGCACACCCTGATTAAAAGGACACAGGCTCTCTGGCAACCCGCGTGGGCTGCAATCTCAAGTCCTTCACAGGTATTCACGAAGCTCAGGAAGAAGCAAGCAGATTGTGCAGAAGATCCGTAACACCTTTGAACAAACCAACAAGAGAGCACAGGATGCTACCTGCCTAATAGTGCTGTCGGCTTACTAGGGAACTCATTTCCGAAATCATAGCTTGTCAGGAACGTGTGTGTAAAAGCAGCAGAAACACACAGGGCTCAAGAGGCTCACCAGCTGTCCCAGAACACTGCTCCAACACAACCCAAAACGAAGGGCTGAGGAAGAGGAAAATAAGGTGTCCAATCAACAGCACTTCAAGCTCTTAGCAAACCCTCCTGGGGCAGCAGGAATGTGGCGTGCGGGGGAACGGGGGGTGGGGGGGGCACGTCATCACTGCCAAACTAAGACAACGCATTCACTTCACCAACACACATGGGGCACCTACTCTCGGGGAGGCGCTGGGGTAGTGTCCCAGCCTCCCAGAAGGCTCCTCACTCCACGGTACCAAGCAGGCTTGGCACTATGCAGCCTTTCTACAAACCACACCAAGCACATCCAGAGCTGGATAGAAATGGCATATAAAACTGGATGTTCCTACATTTTCTCTTAAATAATTGAATTAACTCATTTATGCTTGATCACGGAAACCCTTGTGGCACAGTAGTTAAGAGTTTGACTGCTAACCAAAAGATCGGCAGTTGGAATCCACCAGGTGCTCCCTCGGAAACCCTATGGAACAGTTCTACTCTGTCCGATAGGGTCACTAAGAGTTGCATTCGACTCGACGGCAATGGATTTGGTTTTTGGGGGGTTTATGCTTGATCATAAGCATTGGACACTAGGGACGATATATTATTTTCCCAGGAGCCTTGAAAAATCTATTCCAGAAACCCCTGTCTGTCCCACAGGTCATGCAGACTTTACAAAAAGTAAGAGCCTGTTACACCACAATAAAGGAGGCCTGGTGGCACAGTGGGTAAAGTGATCGACTGGGAACTGAAAAGTCGGTAGTCAGAAACCACTGGCAGCTCCATGGGAAGATGTGGCGGTCGGCTTCCGCAGGGTTACAGCCTCGGAAACCCTATGGGGTCGCTATGAGTCGGAATCGACTCGACGGCAGCGGGATTTTTTGGTGTCACAATACAAGTGTGGGGAAACTACAGCTCACCGAACTGCCTGTGTAAATGTTTTACTGGAGCGCAGCCATGCTCATCCGTTCATGTACCAAGGCTATGTTCATCCTACAACGGCAGAGCTGAGTAGCTGCCAGACACTGTGTGGCCAGAGAAGTAAAAAATGTTGACTATCTGGCCCTTGCCAGAGAAAGTGTGCCAACCTCTGCAACGGAGCAAGTACTCAGAAGTCACGGGCCTGAATTCAAAACCCCGCTGACACTGACAGCTGTGTGATCATCCATTCACTTTTTCAACATCTACTGCACACCCACTGTATACCATGCACTGTTCTGGAAAGAGCAGTGGCCACCAGACACTGCCCCAGTCCCTAGTTCCTTGTCTGTATAGAGAAAATCTGGTTCCTATTACTACGATTCAGATCATGTATGTAGAAGCACCTATCACCTCACAGAGACACACTCCTGGTACGCAGACACCTTCTGAAAAACCAGTGAAGAAAAATTAATTCGAAGGCATTTCAGGATTTAAAAAATGAGTAAGTATGGTGATGTTAGCAGATTTCACCCAGCTAGAAAAGGGAACAGAATGGGAACAGGATGGGAAAAGATGAAAAGAGCCCTCCGCGCTGGTTCACAACTGGAGCTATCAGCAGACGTGCGCAGCACGTGAATTTCCCAGCTCTGAATGCTTAAAGGGGCCAGAAGGAATAGCACCCCAGCAGCAATGAGCACACCCAGACCTGGAATTCTAAATGCTATTTCCTACTGGACTGATTCCCAGACTCGCGTAGGAAAAGTACAGGATGAGCCCGGAACATCGTGGAAACACAGGTTACACAGGACCCCCTCAAAACCTGAAGGGGTCCCACTAGCTAAACCTGGAAAGATTTGGGCAGATAATGGATTCTAACCCACTGAATAAGCCACGACCTCATACTGACGATAACTACATGGGGAAAAGGGGAAGTTCTAACTTTTATTTTTTTCTGTATTGAAAGGTAAGAAAAATTGTCATTCTGCATCATCACAGTATAACTTAGGCAAAAATTACCCACGGATACCAAAACTAGGGATTCAAGTTTTATGAGGAATAGGTTATTTACACAGTCTCTAAGTGTTGGTATTGCTGTTGGGTGCCATGGAGTTGACTCCAACCCACAGTGACCCCCATGTGACAGAGAACTGCCCCACAGGGTTTTCTAGGCTGTAGTCTTCACAGAAGCAGACCACCAGGTCTTTCTCCCCCAGAGCCGCTGTGTGGGTTGCTTTTCAGTTCACCTCGCCCCACCCGGGCTCCTTAGGCAGTTTCTAAGTATCTCTACACAAACTGCTTATTACAAAAGGGAGAAAGAGTCACTCGACAGTGGACAAAGCTAGTGGACACCAACCGATCAAAGTTAGTGTCACCAATACTGGGTCAAACCAACATCACATACGTCCTCATGCAAAACTTTGGGGACATTATCACTTGTAATTCCTGCCGAAACTGCACAGCCTGAATCTGATCATAAGGAAACAGATAAACCCAAACCGATGAGAAATTCACAAAGTAACTGGTCTGCCCTCTTCAAAACTGTCAATGCAAGAAACACAGACAGGCTGAGGAACTGTTCCAGACTGAAGGGCACACAAGACAAAAAAGCGAAGGGTGATGACTGGCTCCTGGACTTAAAAACGGTTGCTTATTAATGGAACCAGTAATATTTGAAGGCTTTAGATTAAAATATTGTTACTTAAAAAAGTTGCTTTCCTAATTTTAATAATTATATTGTGCTTATGAGTGACTGTCCTTGTCTTAATATATCCCGAGTACTCAGGTAGACAGGAATGTCCACAATTTACTTTCAAAATACGTGTACGATTAGAGAGAATGACAAAGCAAATGTGGCAAAGTATTAACTGTCAGTGAGACCTGGATGAAGATTATTCCTAAAATTCTTCATGTTATTCTTACAACTTTCCTGTAGATTTGAAAATATTTCAAAATTACAAGTGAAAAAAAATTAAAATTTTTCATCTCCTCAATGTTTTGTCTATAACTCAATTCTGAGGCAATACCTCTGTGCATTTACAAAGGTAGGTAAGTAACGGGCAAACTCTTCCAAAACCATCCGTGAGCCAAGGGAGGAGGAGCTGAGGTATGACGTCTGGGACACAGGACACTGGATGTTTTACAGGGGAGACACATGTTTGTACTAAAAATACTCAGTCAGAGGAATGTAGATTGTTCATTTTATTCAAAGTTGGTACAGAAGTGCTAACATTTCCATAAAATTATTACCATACTTCAGTTACAGGACAAAATACCACAGAAAAGAATGTATTTTGCAAGAAATGTAGTTCATTTTAAGTTTCCAAATACTTTTGAAGGCTAATGCAGCAGCTGGCAAAATAACACACAGTCCACAAACAACAGTGTATTTTACACCAAGTCAGTAATGAAAACTGACAGTTCTTTCGTAGATTTGCTTCATTTTTTTTTTAACAGCAATAACACTTTTAAAAATACATGAAACCAAGATCATACATGTCTATAATTTTAAAAATCAGATTGTAGGTTAGAATAGTCAAGTTAGAATTGTCATGAATGGTTAACAATCCTAAATCTACAATTTCACTGTATTCCTTTCAATATGGAAATAACCTGGTTTACATCAAATTCTACTTTCTGCTTGCAACTAAAACACTGTACGATAAAATGGACTCAATCAAACTTTAAAAAATAAGCAGTGGGCGATGGAGGATCAAGTTGGAAATCAGTTCCTAATTCAAAAAACTCATCAATGACAAAATTAATTTTCAACAACTTCATTTAAAATCACATTTGGTCTACAATGCATGATACTGACTAAAATGATACATGTATACAATACACACCCCCAGTGGACTGACTGGTCTTTTACAGAAAATCTGATCAACGCAGGCCACTGGGAAAAAACCATTCTTCCACGGAGACATCTTTAAAAATGCATGAAAATACTCACGTATCAAAACTACTACAGAGAAGCAGCAGAATTTGCTGACATTTGGCTTAAAAATAAAGGAATGAATGAAACAATTTCACAGGATAATATTAGAAAAGGAATTGGTTTCTTCTTGAAGAAGACTACTTACTTTTGCACAGCAACTATTTTTGATATCCACCTCATTAGGAAAAAAAAAAAAAAAAAGCACTGAGAAGCCTAGCTCAGTTCACGTGTGATCGCCAACATCAGTCTGCACAACAGAAAGCAGAATATGTCCAAGAAGGTCCAATGTCAATCCCTACTTCCCTCTGAACTCTGCTGGCAATCTACAAACTGAAGGATGCCGGTGTGGGAAAGCGGGCATAGAGATCCCACACCATCACGTGACACTAACGTAATATGCCATCAGTAAAAAAAATAAAGCTTTTGCATCTTAACAACCCCACAGAAAAGTCCATGAGCAAAAGACTTGATCTGTTTGCCAACTCAAAAGTTAGAGATCTCACAGTGAAATCAGAAAATTCTAATTATACATATTTACACTGCTAAGACTACTTTTCACCTAGGCTAATTAAAAGCAGTTCTCCATGGAATTATAAATGAAATGAAAGCTATTCTGCCAAAGGAAATCTTCCAAGGCATTCTTTCTTAAAGTTCTTACAAGCGATTTTAAATTTAAGAACATTTAAAGGTACAGAACACTTAATACACAGGGTCAACAGGTTCTAACTTCCTTGCATTAGCATATATATTGCTAAGCCAAAGATGTCCTCGGCTTTTCCTTGTGCTGCATTTCTGGCACTCTTCTCCCTCGCTTCCCCCAGCCTGCGGTTAAACATTATAAAATAATGCTGCAGCTTTTTGCTCGGGGGATCTCTCGGGTTACCGCCTCCAGAACAGGTCACATCAGACTACACCAGCTACACCCTTCTCTCTGGACGCATCAGAGTTGACCAAGTCTTTCCCTAAGAAGATAAATATACAGAACAGAGGACGGAAGCAAACATGGACACCAACCTCCCACTCTGAGAGTTGTTTCTTTTAACATATGGGCAAAATTCAAGAGAAAGATGGATTTAGTCTTTCTTGATAGACACAGACTGTTTCAGAGGTGAATAAGGGGAGGGGCAGGAGAAGGGCAATGCCGAGCAGAACACGTCGTTTTCATCTATTGCACACACATTCACGGATTTCCTCCAATCTAGTCTTGAGAGCGTAATGGGACAGGCAAAATAGCCCTTTAGTCTCTTACGTCGTTCTGAAAAGCGCAGTAATTCATTCGGAAGACTTGTCTCAGAATTAGTCTGACGCTCACACCCTCACAGAAAAGCAGTCAAGCACGTGAGAAAACAAAGATAACGCCCACCTGGCTGCGAGTCGGAAATGACTCGACGGCAACGGGCTTGGTTTGTTTTTGGGGGGGGGGGTTTCTCACAGACAAACCTATTCAAATATTAAAGACAAGCAATATTTGCCCCATTAAAACATGAAGTTTCTCCATGTTTTCTTAGGGCACTGTTGATGGCAGATAATATTTCCTAACAATTTAAGATTAAAAAAGAAAACAAAAAACTCCAACGGCTCTACAGCTTAAAGCAGAAGTTTGTCTACATAGTGCTCCAACCAAAAACCAAGAAGCCTGTCCATGTCTTTGGTTCCAGACTGTCGGAAGGAGCTCACAGGCTCCTATAGTTAGCAACCCCCAAATACAACTGCGGCATCCTTGACGTCTGTACTCTCTCCCTCCACCAGAGCGGTACACACTTCCACAGACCACTACACTGGATGGCTTACCACTCAGGACCCATGACCACATGCCTCACTGCTCAGGGCTTTCAACACCAGGGTCCTCATCATCAAAACACCTGGTGGGCTTTACGACTGGCACTTGTGGGATACCGAGAACGCAATCAGTCTTGTGCTTCCTACGTGTGGAGATGCACACATGTATGAACATGACTTTGTGCTTTCTGTGGACTTCAGCTTTTTCACCATCATGGAATATGAACTGTTCCCACAGGTATGTTCTCAGGTATGCCTATCAAACCCACACTGGGCAAGCAATAAAGTTAGAATATACTCACAGAGCTAATAAGGATATAAAGGAAACAAAAACAAATAACATTCAAGCTACAACACAAATATAGAGCTATGCGGTTTCCTTGACCCTACATAAAGGCTGCATATATGTGGAAAAAATGTGTGTTCTCACTCCTTTCACTAGTTACAACAAAACGTAAAGAGGAACAGTAACAAGTAAGAGTTTTCTATAAAGAAAGGGAAAGGCGTAAACTAGCAGAGTCAGTACTGGCAACCAGAAGGCACTAATCAAAACACATAAATTTCAGAAGCAGATTATGTTATTATCCTATAGATTAGCCTTTGCCAATTTGGGATTTGAATGTAATAGCAATGAGCCTAATTTCAATTTCCAGTTTTTATAACAAAAAGTGGGCTATTAAGGGAACTTTCACTTAGGAGTCTAGGCTATATTGATGAATTGAAAAATTATCCAAACTAGTTTGTCCATCAGGACAGAAAATTTAAACACTCCCAGACATTCCTTTATCCTGCAGCTCTAGGGAGCTGGGTGAATTTACCAAGATAAAAATGTGTCCAATTAGCTTGTGAATATCTACTGTCAGCTTCTGCTACGGTTGAAATCACGGAAATACCTATTTCCCTTATTGGTAGAGTTCACTGAACACAAACTGTCTTGAATGGGGGAGGGGAGTGGGCATCATTATGGGCACCAATCACCTTACAGTGCTTTTCCAAGGAGAGCAAAACCACGGCTCCTACACTAAGGAGAATCTCAGAGCACACTGTGCTTTGTCTTGTCTTCTCTTCAGCTGCCTACTTTATTCTAGCAGCCCTCCTTCAACCACACTGTGAATCCGGGTAACCAAAAATTCATTACAGAAAGTAAGGGTATAGGCTTCAGCCAGCAGCCTCAGATTAAGTAAGGCCCTCTCCTAGAAAGTTAAGGACATGAAATTAGTGATGATACAGATTCATCAAAACTTTGTTTATTTCTGAGTAAAAGACTGTATGTCAATGATTAAGGTTACTGGTTACCAGAGAAGTGGGGTCCTAGTCCCAAACAAAAGCTAAATCCACCCTTTATAGAGGATTTGAGATGGAAATAGAAACACAAATTATGTAAACTCCCACATTTCTTTAAAGGTGAACCAAGAGTTTAAAGCCTTAATCCCATCACTAGAGAGAGAAGTTTAAATAAAAACATTTATATGACTATGTAAATGATGGTGGGGGACTCCGTGCAAGCGAAGACTATTAATCACTTAAACCCTAACTAAATTCTGTCCTAGGAGTTGACACAGCTGAAGAGCTAGTCTTTCAACAGAGGGTGACATGACAAAAAGCATACCAAACTAACAGAAGTGACGTTAATGAAGGAAAAGGGGCCTGCAGCCCTGAGCTGAGTCACCCAAGTCTAACTACCTTTCAAAAGACTCCTTACCGTGCAATCCAGCCTCCTACCTAACCACTGTGAAGCCTGTGAGCTGAACTTGACGAGACGGCCTGGGTTTTTTCACGAATTGCGAATTTTCCGTCTTTGACAGGGTGCTCTCTATCGGTTGGAAATATCTGGGTTTTTTCACGTCTCGCAAATTTTCCGTCTTCGACAGGGCACTCTCTATCGGTTGGAAATATCTGGGTTTTTTCACGAATCGCGAATTTTCCGTCTTCGACAGGGTGCTATCGGTTGGTAATATCTGGGTTTTTTCACGAATCGCGAATTTTCCGTCTTCAACAGGGCGCTCTCTATCGGTTGGAAATACCTACGTTCTCCTTCTCAGCAGATGTCCCGACCTCACACAGGTTCCCGCTTTGGCAGGTTTTACTGCAGTACAAAGAAGCTTCTTTATATGCCCACCAACAACTCACCTTTCTTTATTGCAAAGAACAAGTCTTTCTGGCATCAAAGCTAACTCCACTGCCTCTCTGCACTGTGATAACATCTTTTCAAAGGGACTCGTATGAATTTTAACTACTGCTCTCTTCCTAACTTTTGAAAGGGAGTTGTAAGAATAAAATACTGATGAATTATTAGTGCTTCTATTATTAATCAACACAAAGTAAGTCTGAGAAAATCATTCTTGAGAATTACCATCTTAAGCTAATAGAAATGTAGTATATTTAAGCATAATCATACTTAAGGAATCATTTGGCTCTAAGTCCTTAATACTGGGGGCAAAGCAGCACTGTCATATCACCACCACAGCAAGAAGCCTGAACGTGAACAGAGCTGCCAAAATACCAAAATACAAACGTGATAAATGTTGAAAGAAAGAACAGGTGAAAAGTTAAAGAAGCAACACGAGGGAAGACAATACAGGAAAAGGCCAGTCTCTGAATGGGAGGTGAGCACACACACATGCAGAAATAGGCCCTGTTTGCAAAGCTGGCTCAGGCTAATGCCAAGACTGAAATGACTTTAGCAAGTTAACACCTGGCTAATGAGAAACCTTATGAATACTGAAGCCTAAAAACATGTTTTCGTACTAAATTATTACTACCTAGTATCAGTCACTTTAACCTCAAATGTGTTAATAAACTCCCAATATTTAACATCAAACCAGGGTTTAACCGGCCTGGATTGTACTCACTGGTACCACAATCTATAGGAGTGGGGTTTAAACTAGCAGATAACCAAGATGCTTCCAGATATAGAACTCAGTGAACAGGATTCTAAGTCTGCAGATTTTAAACTAATGTTTGTCCTTTACCAACCTGTTAATGTCTGTACCACCCAGGTACCTCTTACCATCTCACTTAGTTTTCTCAGAAAAATTCTGACCAGGTGATGTCTCTATAGTCACATCACCTAACAGGAATGGTCTTCTCCCAAACCAAACCTGGGGAACAGTGGCAGTGTCACTACCAGATATTCACGTGGTACCCTCTGGCCAACGTTATCCCGAGGAAAGTGAGACGCGAGAGTAAATAACAAGGGAAGCAAGCCTACCTGCCAATGAGAACATTAAAGGACCTAACCTCTTAACAGCTAACAACATAGCTGGTCTAAAAAACCACCAAACCCACTGCCGTCAAGTCAATTCTGACTCACAGCGACCCCTATAGCTGGTCTACTGAGGGGTAAAGAATGAAAATATCCCGTAACATTAAATGATACTCAGAGAAGGGAAACATCCATGTAACCAGCACAATGGGCTGAGAATGTAGACTTAAAGACCAATTCATCACGGGCCTTTTACCCCTGCTGAGCCTCAGGTCTTGTCTAGGGTGAGCCCTGAAAGATCCAGTTCTTAAAACGTCAAGTTTCATGGAGAAATGGGCCGCTGTGAACTTCCTGAAGCACCATTCTTAAGAGCTATGGCTATGGTGACCCTGGCCAGCCTCTGTGGGCAATAAGACAATGGATCCTTTGAGGCCAGTGAAAAGGAAGCTCTGCGAGACTTCTGAATTTAAGTGCCATTGCTACTACAATCCTTCTCTACCCTAAAGAACAAGGGTGATAACCTCCCCAGAAAAGAAGGGCTGGAGGGGAAAAGACCCCATCAGTCCTTTTGAAAGCAGCTTACTACCCTGGGGTGGCAGGACAGGATATTCTGTGAGATAGAAAGGAGAATCAGAGGTCCCACAAAGTAGCCGATAACTACTGTGTGTGCCAGAGGAACCAGCTCTTCTCATCACACCGAGACCTGGTGGCCTGTGAGGACAAAACTCTGAGCGCCGGGGAATACCGCGAACAGCTGCGAAGATGGTATTTTTCACCACCAGTGTCCCCACTGCGTTCTGACTGTCAGCTACCTGTCAGTCACTGTCAGTCAGTTCTGCACCTCAGCTGAGCTGATATGAAAATATATACATGTTAACGTATAGACAGCAATGTCAGCATTTAGTATGAACATTCTACTAGCTTAAGACAGAGCACGCATCATTCCAGGAACAATCATTCTAGTGAAATAAAGACTGAAGACTGGCACCCTGAAATGAAGTTGCCATCAGCAATTCACATACTTATTCAAGCCCATTATCTATTACTGGGAAGCAGTAAGGAAGACAAGCTTCAGGGATTTCTGTCTAAATAAAGTGATGTTCACAATGGTAAGGATAAACAACCCTAACGGCTTTGCTAACAGACATTCCTTATTTACAGACTTTAGTACTCTATGAACTTGACCTACTGCTATGTACAGACAGACAGACACAAGATGATGTGCTTGATGTATCTTGCAAGACAACAATAGAGAAGATAGAGGGACGCTACAGACTGTTAGGAGTCAACATTAAATAAAGGGGAGAAAATCCACACACACCCCATTTCACTTATGCTGTAATAGAAGGGGTAGGAAGGCTGCCCAGCCAATACCCCAATTCCCTCTGCTAAGTTCTACAGCAATGTGCTCAGAGTCCAAAACAATTTTAATTCCTACAACTCAATGCCAACTTTAAAAACCCAAGACACTATATTTCCCCAAATACCAAAAGGTTGTCTCAAAGGAAGAACAGTTTAACGGGCAAACCATGAGTCCAGTTTTGGAGACCTGGTTTCTCTTCTTCCCTGTTCTTCTGACTGAAGACTGGTAACCCTGGACATGTCACAGCCTCAACCTCCACACAAGAAAAGGATGGTCCCTATCTATTTGGCCTCCAGGTTATCAACCTCAAGAATGAAACAGAAAAAAATTCTACAAGGCACTCTAAGCTCTCAGAAATGCATGCTATTCATACATGAACTATTTTCCTCTACAGATTCAGTCCAGCAAAAAGCCTCCTGGAGATGGGAAGACATTATGCTACTGGTAATTCCTAAAATCAACTCTGGACTAATCGAGTCCATCATAATGAAACTAGTTTACAGACTACAAAAATTTTAAAGTCATTAGGACTGAGGTTTGTTAAAAATCTACAAAAGTAGATATAAAAGTAATAATCTTCCTAAAGAATACAAGCTTAATAAAATCATGCAATTTAAAAAGTATCAGAGATTAAAGAAAAGAAAGTAGATACATGATTAGCTTCCTTCATCTTTTATGGAGGACAAAAAGGACAGTGTTGAACACATATGGACACAGAACTACGTAACCTATAGAGCTTTTCTCTAGCATCTTTCACACCTTGTCCTCACTAAGGGGAATCCTTCGCCTATGAAAAATAGATTCCTGTCCATGGAACCATCAACTGAGTACCAAGCCATGTCAAGATCGAGGGGCCTATAATTACACAAGTCCTGTAATATCCTCCACAAGACACACTACTACGCCCAGAAATTCTTGCTCGCAGCCCCTCGGGAACATGCTATCCATTCTACAGAAAGCCTCTGCTGACCCCCCACCAACGGCAAAGTGTACACTCTGAGCTGTTACTGACGGTCACTCTGCACTGTCACATCCTTGGGCAACGTTGCTTAACTTTTTAAACAAAAACGTAGAAGCCACGTACAGATGGCAGGTCTTTTGAGAAAAAAATAAATTAGGGAAAAAATTTCATCAAGGATGCAACATGATCTCAGAATAAATTTTCCCTCTAAAAAGTCAACCTTAATACACTATGCTCTAAGCAAGCAGAGCAACCCAGCACAAAGGCAGTGGCAACTTTGCTTCAAATTTCTGGACGTATCTTCCAATTGGGAACGCATCTGGCTAATAAAGAATGTTAGATACCAAGTGACAAGAACAAAGCTAGAGAACTAGTGGATTATGAATAATCGCCTGTTTAGCATAAGCTGATCAAACACTGCTTGGGGGCTACTAAGTCCCAGACTATAAGAACAACCTTGATTTGGTCATGTGGATCATTCGCAATGTTTACTTCATTTTCTCCCCAATACTCCTTTAACAATACAATCATGACATTTATCTTTATAAAAACAGAGTTGGTGGTATTTGGGTGTGGTTCACTCAAACTTGAGTCAAAGGAGGTAAAACAGAAAGGAAAAAAAAAGGAACTAGAACAAAGTTTTCCCCAACATCCTACAGCCTGGTGGTACAAGAATAGCTACAGAAAAACATTCTTCCTTTCTTTTGGCAATTACAATCCATGGGTTCATAGTAACAAACTAACTTGTCCTCAGATAAGTACCACACAAGCACATTAGATTTTCTGCACATAAGGGTTTGTACAATATCTAGGAAATCAGTTTGAAATGGTAGTCGGGATTACAGAGATGGAAAAAAACTCGGACATGAGCGAGTCTTCTACTTCAGGATTAGAAGGTCTCTACCAAGACTTGGTAGTGTAGACAATATACCTATTCATGATATCCTAACATATACTCTGCTCTAAATGCTCTATGAGAACAGTTGGTCTCTGCTTACTTTGGTATGGAAAATTTTAAACCACATTTGCACAATTCTGTCTGCTAAACAAGTTTTGCTTCATTTGAGTTGAAGATTTACTTTCATCCATCTCTGGGAAAATAAAGTCTTGCAAATAGGTGATTTTCTGCTAAGTAAAATTTGGCTAAAACCTACAGCGTAAACAATGCCTGAGAGATGCAACAGTTACATAATTTTTTTTCAAAGAACAGTATTTTCTTAAGTTAGTGTCTCACCATATCCTTAAAAGTTCATAAGGAGAAATAAACAAACATGAAAATTCCAAGAGAACACACAGCAAAAAGTCCAATATTTAGTACTAGTTTAACTTTTGGAGTCTCTTCCAACATTTGTAAACAAACGGCCTCCTCTTCCATCAGGTCTCTGAGACTCCTCTTGCTGAGGCTCTTACTTTTAAAGCCACAGAACCAGTCTATGAAGTGCCAGTACCGGCCGCCTTCCTCTGCTTCTTTCTTTCTCTCTTTCTCACCCATGAGAGCTGCTTGCCCGTTGGAATAAGCATCCACGGGTGTTTCTGCTTCCGAGTGACCCAAGGAAGCCACTGGGTTGCCCTCCTCTCTACAGGTCACCAACAGATTCACGTCTTCTGGCTGAAGGCCCTTAATGCTGTCTTCAGATTTCCCGTTGGGAATGATGTGGTTGGCGGCCTCGCTGTTCTCATTGCATCTCAGAATGCTTTTCTCTTGCATTTTGTATGGTTCATCTTTCAGGGAACAGCTCTCCTTCACCGCCACGCTCTTCTTAGACCAAAAGGTAGTGGTGCGAATCTGTTCCTTCGTGGGAGGTGGCGTGAGAAGGCTAACGATTACAGTCATGAGTCCTGTGACCCAAAACAATGCTGTGGCCACATACATGTAATGGATGTCCTTGATGAAGCCTGGTCTGTTATCAGGCTGGTCACACTCTGGGGCACGGTAGGTAAAGGCCAGTGTCAAACGGACTGCTCCAAGAACAAAGCCTGCCATTCCACCATAAAAAGCTCCTTGCTCATTGCAGCGCTTCCAGAAAATTGCCAGGAGGAATAGGGCCGCAACTGGGGGTGTCAGGTAATCTGCTACCTCTTGAATGTAAAGGTACATCTGACCTCCCTGCATCTCCACGATGATGGGCACCCATGCAATGCTGATCACCACCATAAAAGCCACAAATATCCTCCCCACAATCATTAGTTCCCGAGAGCTTGCGCTCTTGCGGATGAGTTTGTACACATCGAGGGTGAATATGGTGCTGGCACTGTTGAAGATGGAGTCCAAGTCACTCATCAGAGCTGCAATCATCACTGCCATCATCAGGCCCCGCAGGCCCACGGGAACCAGCCTCATCACCAGGCGCGGGTAGGCAATGTTGGAGCAGCCAGCTCTGCTTCCACACACCTGCATGCAGTGCTCTGGGTTGATGCAAGCAATGTCATCAGCAAACAGTATCCTGGAAATCATTCCTGGGACCACTATGATAAACATTGGCAGAAGCTTCAAGAAGCCAGCCATTAGAGTAGAGCCTTTGGCATGGGCGATGTTTTTGGCCGCTAAGACCCTCTGCACGATGACTTGGTCAGCACACCAGTACCATACTGAAGCTGGAGTCTGCCCAAGAACGAATCCAGGCCAAGGGACATCTTCATCTGTTGGATTCCGCAACATCTTCAGGGCATCTTCCTTAGGATGGACATTACAAGAATTTGTGTTGGACAAGTTGTACGTCAACAAGATGGAAGTGACATTGGGCGAGGCCAACATGTACCTTCTCTTAACTTCCTCAAACCCGCCAATCTCCATCATGCTAATAATCATGAGGGTCAGTGCCCCAATGATCATGAGCAGAGCCTGTAGAGTGTCTGTGTAGATCACCGCAACAAGGCCTCCAGTGACAGTCAGCAAGGCAGTCATACCAATGAGCAGGATGACAGATACATAAAGGTTCCAACCCAAAGACTCTTGGATAAAGAGGGCACCCGAATACAGATCCACTGAGAGCTTGGTGAAGATATAGAGGATCAGAGACAAGGCTGCGAAATACACCTGAATCCTATGGCCACCAAATCGCTTGGACAAGTATTCAGGCATGGTGTACACCCCTGACCGGATGTAAATTGGGATGAAAACCCATCCCAGAAGTTGCAAAAGCAGTAAGGCATTGAATTCCCATGCGCCCACCGCAAATCCACTTGCAGCTCCAGATCCTGCCAGCCCAATGAAGTGTTCACTCCCAATATTGCTCACAAATAGAGAGGCACCAATTGCTACCCAGGTCATAGAGCGCCCCGCCAAGAAGTATCCACTCACGGTGCTTCTATTAGATTTCCACATGGCAAAAAAACCAATGCACATGACCAGGATAAAATACAGGGCCACTATGGCAATGTCTGCTGTCTCCAGTACAGCCCTCATTTTGGTAACCTTGTGAGTAAAAGCTTCCAACGACAGTAGCGTCCGACTTTTTATTCACTTATTAGCACCCCCAGCCAAGTCTGTAAACCATACGTGAACTGGACTACACAGAGCAACACAGCAGGTCAAAGTCTTTGTCCTTTGGTTTGCTGTCTTGATGGTGGTGGTTGTGATAAACTCTGAAGGAGACAGTTTAAATTTTCCTCCGCTTCTTAATTGGGATCGAGAACTTAGCTCGTACTCTTAATCCACTCTCCACAAGACCATCAGCATTTACTCAGGTGCTGGAGGAGACATTCTGAGTTGCAGCTAAGTCTAGTGAAGCCTACTGTACCAACCCTGCAAGGCAGCAAAGACAAAAGACAAAGATTGAATTAGAGGAGGGTCTCACCAAGTGATGAGGACACGTTCAGTCTAGCAAACACACGGCGCAACAAGACATTCTTTATAAAAAGAAAACAGAAATTTTTTAAATGCACTTTGGTTCCACATAAAGAGCAATCTGTACTATTGCAGCTGATACTTAAGTCAGTGAGAATATATGTTGTTTTGAATAAGAACAAAAATTCATCGACTTCATAACTACGTGGGCCTAACTTCCCCATGAACTAGAACTGCCTCCCATGCCATTGCCCTTTCTTGTCTCACTGTGGTGGTCTCAGAGTGGAACAGGCAACAACATCTTAAAGCACCTAGAATGCTTCGGAGGGGAAAAAAAAACTAATTAATAATAGTAAGTGCACCAAAACAAATCTTCAAGTACTACAAACCCCCAGAGTGATGCATCTCATGGCCCAGTTAGGGTCCTAGATACCACAGGCAGGTGGTGTTCATCAGGTGCTGTCGTCTGTCTACACCCAGTTTTTACACACGGATAACCAAGCATGGCTCAGCCTGTGCGAATCTACTGCGACTAAAATAAAACTTATCTGAATCCTTACTGCAAATGAACGTCTGGGCTACCTGTCACACAGTAACCTGGAGCTTGTGAGATGACTCCTAGCTTCAATGGAAACAAGACATTTCACACTGGAAACCAGGAACACACAACTTACAAAAAGACCCTAAAATTGTATTCTTTCTTCTGGTTAGAGGGAAGGTGTTGGAAGGAGATGAAAAGAAATTTTTAAAGATGTAATTTTCTTCCTTCTCATCAGGCAGTACATCCAAGAGAACTTCTGAGAGGACAAAGGCACTGGCTCAAGGCTGAATGTTGTTGAGTATGTTTTCCTCTTAATGCTTTTTGTTGAAGGGTATATAGGAGGGGGGCAGGGAAGTTTTTCTGAAGGCTGAAAGATAATGTGAGTATCGCTGTTATCTTCCAAACCTAAACAAAACAGACACGTGCTGACCATTAATGATACGTCATTAGCAGTTAAGTCAGTAACAGTTATTTTTCAGTCCTGGATTAACATAATCACTCTGCAAAGTAGACATTAAAATTTACCTAAAATCAGGTATATAAACTTGATGGTTTTCTCCTGGAAAAGAGACAAATTCTCAGTTTTTAAAGCAAATTGTAATTGTAGCTGATTGATAACAGATCAGTATGAAGAAGATTGTTAGTCAACCCAACGTCATCCACAAACTAATGTCTAACTTCAGAGTCAAACGGTTTCTCCGCTTGAAAAGGATGAATCGAGGCATTTTCCTTTAAATATCAGCAGGAAACATAACTCCTATAAATGATACAAAAGCCATCTCTGTCCAAAACTGTTCAGAACAGACCACAGTACTACAAACTCAAAAACACTACACACGCCCCCTGGCAAGAAAAAGGGCTGGAAATAATGCCTCCAGACAGACGTCCTAGCAAATGAGGTTATCAGGTCTAATCCATAAAGCTGCCTAGATAGAAACATCCTTCTGCCCTTTTTAAGTATTAAGAGCTACAAAAATTACACTAAGAAAACTGATTAAAATCCTTCCTCCTAAGTGTCAATAACAAGTGGAATAAACAAAATTGCCATAGATAAAAGCACAAAACACACTAAGCTGGGATTTGTAACTGCCAAATGCTAAAATACTGGGCACATGTCTATGGCCACCTTCCCCACCCCCAAAACTTTCAAGTCTTTAAAGTAGAAATTCTTCTACATTATTCTAAAAGAATCACCTCAACTTTGAATAAAATCTAATCATACGACTAACAGACATTATTTAAAAGGGTACCCTTGATCTTTCAGTGTTTAAGGGACAGGTCTTCATTACAACAAAAACGGTGTTGGCAGTTCTGAAAATCGGCTTCACCAGAGCTCCCCCTGCCAGCCAGCATCTAAGCCAGACCCTTGCCAGGCATTCCAAGTTGTACAGATAAGCCCAGCTCACTGGTCGGAAGGGCCTTTTCAGATACCCATCTTCTCAATGAGATATCCATCTTCTCAATGACAGAAGCTGATATGTGTTTCTCCAAGAAGGGACAGAAAAGCACCCAGAGTTTTTTCTGCTTTCCTTGGGTGCAAGGGGGAGGGGGAGGGTTGTGGTGGCTGCCACAGCAGCTTATCTGTTCAGAGAATAAACTGCTCAGAAACAAAACAAACACTTCCTTCCCTGACACTAGGAAGCCCGACATCAGGCTGTTCCAGTACTACTGTTTCTCACTGTCAAATATGACTTACACAAGGCGCGGATCTCAGCCATACTCTGCTCCCTGCTGAATGCTCAGAGTGGTTAGGATTCCCAGCCTAGGTCTAACCTCACTCCCCTAGAAAAGCAGGTAACCTAGAGGGCCAAGGCAGGTTCCGACCACAGAAAGGTGGGGAAAGGGGCAAACGATAGCTCCAGGCTGAGTTCTCAACGCCTACCTATGCCTCCTCAGACCCTCCAAACGCGGACACCAGTCTTGTGGATAAGTTTTAAGATTTTTCCAATTTAAACAAAAAACATCCAGAGACCAGCACCTGGTAAAGACTGGAAAAGGAAAAAACAAAATAAAACCAAAAAGAGGTCAATTGAAAACGCAGAATGTTATCAAATACTACAATACAATGCAGCTAAATTTCATTCTCTAGTCATACAAAGAGATCGTCAGTCTTGAACTTCAACCTTTCAGGAAATAAACTGCACATACCCTAGAAATGGTGCCAAATATAATACATAAATTTGTATATTTTATTCTTTTCTCTTAAAGTAGTAACCAGAACTACAACAAAAATAAAATGAACACTGCCTGGGGTTCCTTTATTTTTAGGAAGAACATACATGGAAAATTCTTTTTCTTCAGCCAAAATGAAGCTTTTAATTTGTATTTTCATATTTACAGGACTAAGTTGGTTCACAGTTCAAGCGAACTGCATAAGTAAGAAATGTGGGACAAGTAATAAAATAGTCATAGTTATGAAAAGTATGTGGTTGGCTTCTTGGTAGCACATTTTTTAGAAAACAATTGTTTCCACAATGAGAGCAAGATTCCTAGAATGTATAAAGAAACAGTCTTCTAGTGGCGATGGGAAGATTTAGCCAAACCTCAACCACAAGGGTGTTTGTTTTGAAACACAACGGACTCCCCAAAGGAGGCAACTTCCTTCTTAGAAAGTAATGTTTTATTGATAGTTTTACACAGAATTAGAAAACAATTTTGGCATTGTTCCATGTATTTTGATGAACTGAATTACTCCTAAAGAATTAATCCAAATACAGAAGTGTACAAAAGTATTTGCTGCATTCGACCAACTGGAAAGAGGAAAAAAAGAAAGCCCAAATTAAAATCAGTTATTAAACTACTGAAATTATTCTGGGACAATCTAGACATACCAGGACTTATAGTCACTCTGTCTAAAATAACAACAACAAAAAAAAAAAAAAAACAAGAAAAACAACCCCTACACTCAGCCAGGGCACCAAATTCAATGAGGCCATCTGGGGTAACAAAGGAGAAAAAGTGTGATCCTAAAACTTACCAAACAGTGATCTATTTCGCTTTGAAGTTGGTTTAAAAACAACACACTTGTTATGAATTGTGTGTGTCCTCCCCCCAAAAATGTGTCAGCTTGGCTGGGCCATGATTCCCAGTATTGTGTGATTGTCCACCATTTTGGCTTCTGATGTGATTTTCCTATGTGTGGTAAATCCTACCTCTATGATGTTAATGAGGCAGGATTAGAGGCAGTTATGTTAATGAGGCAGGACTCACTCTACAAGATTAGGTTGTGTCTTAAACCCATCTGTTTTGAGATATAAAAGAGAGAAGCGAGCAGCACAGACAGGGGGACCTCATACCACCAACAAACAAGAGCCAGGAGTGAGCGTGTCCTTTGGACCCAGGGTTCCTGAGCTGAGAAGCTCCTAGATCAAGGGAAGATCAATGACAAGGACTTCCCCCAGAGCCAACAGAGAAAGAATGACTCCCCCAGGAGCTGGCACCCTGAATTTGGACTTCTAGCCTCCTACACTGTCAGAGAAGAAATCTGTTTGTTAAAGTCATCCACTTGTGGTGTTTCTGTTATAGCAGCACTAGGTAACTAAGACAGCTCTCCAGAGTGCATGTGAACAAGCGCAGCCCAGCACTCTGTCAATGGTGGCCTGACCAGTCTCACTCACATTCTGATACAATGAAAAGCAGCCACTTTACCAGCCAGCAGTAAGGGTTACAGAATACAGACACCTCTGAAAACCTGACTGTCTGAATTATAATCACCTTTCCGTAACCCACCAAAAGCAAAAAACACGGGCATACCCAAGGCCTGGTTTTCTCCCCACCACACCACCCAGACAGCAATATACAAAGTCTCTTACTACCATCAGATTTCACAGTACTGTAAGGAGACGTAAAATACAAATAATAATAACTAAATTTATGTAAAATTCTACTCGCAGACTTTTCATACATGTTTTCACTTTGGTCATCTGGATTCAGGGTCCAATAAGGCAAATGCAACTAAGCAAACAGATTCATGGTGCCTGATAGAGTATATACACACTCATGTAGGGCACTCCTCAAACCCTTGCTTACTTTAAAAAATACAAAGCACGGATATAGCAATATTTAAGTGACACTCAAAAGCAACACAAGTTTTCCTAATACAACTGACGTGAACTCCGGCCAATTTTAAATTACAAGTGGAGCTGAAGACAGCACGATATATAATTGTATAATTACATTTAAGGACATATATCTATGATACCTAAAACCTCAGCTGCTCAAGTTTTAAAAAGTACCTAAGCAGACGAAATGACTAGACATTAATGGCTTCCGAATGGTTTTCAAACACTATTCTGAGGATAGTTAGTTCCTGGTACATAATCACAAGCGGAGGCAGAGCAGGCGGGATTTAAGCCCATCCCTCAACCCTGAGAAGCCCTGGTGGCGCAGTGGTTAAGTGCTTGGCTACTAACCAAAACGTCGGTGGTTCGACCCCACCAGCTGCTCCACAGGAGAAAGATGTGGCAGTCTCTTCCATAAAGATTACAGCCTTGGTGAGGGCTGTGGGGACCATAATCTCAGGGAACATCTAGCTCAGCTGGCATAACACAGTTTATAAAGAAACACTCTACTTTGGTGAGCAGCGTCTGGGGGCTTAAAAGCCTGTGAGTGGCCGTCTAAGATACTCTACTGGTCTCGCCCCTTCAGGAGCAAGGGAAGATGAAGAAAACTAAAGACACAAAGGAAAGATTAGTCCAAAGGGACTAAGAGACCACAACTACCACAGCCTCCACCAGACTGAGTCCAGAACAACTAGATGGGCCCAGCTACCACTACTGAGTGCTCTGACAGGGATCACAATACAGGGTCCCAGAAAGAGGTGGAGAAAAATGTAGAACAAAAGTCAAACTCAAAAAGAGATCAGATTTACTGGCCTGACAAAGACTGGAGAAATCCTGAGAGAATGGCCCCCGGACACCCTTTCAGCTCAGTAATGAAGTCACTCCAGAGGTTCACCTTTTAGCTAAAGATCAGACAGACACACAGGGCAAAATGAGATTAAAGGGGCACAATAGCTCAGGGGCAAGGACTAGAAGGCAGGAGGGGTCAGGAAAGCTGGTAATAGGAAACCTGAGGTAGAGAAGGGAGAGTACTGACATGTCATGGGGTTGTTAACCAATGTCAGAAAACAGTATGTGTACTAACTGTTTAGAGGCTAGTTTGTTCTGTAAACCTTCATCTAAAGTAAAATTAAAAGGGCCCAAAGTCCATCAAACAGGGAAAAGACAGTCTTTTTAACAAATGGTGCTGGCAAAACTGGATATCCATCTGCAAAAAATTGAAACAGGACCCATACCTCACGCCGTATACAAAAACTACTTCAAAATGGATCAAAGACCTGAATATAAAGCCTAAAACTATAAAGTTCATGGAAGAAAAAACAGGACCAACA